CCAGCATGCAGCTAGATAAATGTACCTTTTAATCTAGTTAATCTAGCTGTAAGTGGGCGCTGCAGCTACTTCTGCAGCTAGATTTTCTCGCTTACTTAGTTTTGCTTGGGCTTATATTAGAGTATTATATTTATTTAAAAAGAAATATAAATATAAAGTACTGCATATCATTCAAACTAGATAAGAATAAACTAACGGTATTTCGTGCAATACTTTCAAAATTTCGTGCTTGTTCTCGTGTGAAAGTGCTGATTCGTCCGTATTCATTGTCATAAATATTCGTGTATGTTAATCTTTTACGTTTTCCACCAGAAGACAACCGAGCAAAGGAAGCTATAATGTTTGTGATTATTCACACAAGCTGTAATTTACGCTAAAAATGGAAAAACAAAAGTGAGGACTAAATTTATGCTACACAATATTCTAATAGATTACTGTCGCTTTGAAATTATCGGATCGGTGGGCGTTTTTTGAATATCTCAATAAAAAAAAGGTGACAAAAACTTCCGATTTCCATCATTCGATAGCTAAAACATTAAACGATCTTTTCATAACCAATAAGAATTTTAAAAATTTCTTAAAAACTGGATTTCGACAGGATCTTTGAAAAATCGTTTCATAAATGAAAAAGCTATGATAGAAATACATAGTTTTTTCCATGAGTAAATAGCCCAAAGTGTTTGCGTCAAAATGGGAGCGAAGCGAAAACTTGGTTTGCAGTGATTCGGACGTGGTATGGGATTTCTAGGAGCTTCAGAAGTGGCACTCGGTGATTACTTCTATGCATGAGATCAAAAAAAAAGGATGAATGATAGGCACAGGCATTAAATCTTATTCAAGCCTTAAATAAGCCCTTCAAATGTAAGATCTTACATGATCTTAATAAGACGATTTTAAGGAGTGCCTAAGATTTTTACTAGTGAGGCGTCAACAAAAATTGTGCAATAAATTGTCTAAATTTGTTAGTCTACGTATTTTTGTGTTTTAAATAAAATACTGTTACACAAAAATGATCTAGACAGGTAGAAAAAAATTAATTAATGCAAAAATGTTTAATTTGTCTTGACGGAACCGATTCCTTTGACTGAAAGTCTAAATTCATATGGAATTAATGTCGTTGTCGCTGTTCGTAATAATGGACTCGTCAATTAATGATGTCACACTACAATCGATGTCAAAGGTAAAGGAAAGAAAAATCGATAACGATGTGCATAGAGGATGCTACCATACGGTAGAAAATGTTGAACTACCACACGAACGACAATATCAGGAACAATCCCTAAATTAAGTAGTAAATTTACTTGGAAGTACTTGTCCAGCGTGCAAGTACTTGATTTTTCACTTGTTCAAGCACTTGTTCAAGCGCTTGTCAAATGAAACTGCAAGCACTTGGGTTGTTTTCAAGGTAGTATTATTCGAGTGACTCGAATAATATTCACTTTGTGAACTTATATTATTCTATGTTTGAAGTCCACAAAGAAAACACGTTTTCCTAAGCGTAGGTATACCCAGATCGAAGCTCTACGGCTGTAGACTATAGTATACGTCGAAATACATATCCATTCCAGATAAAATACGACGTCGTAATCCTTCTCCGTGGTAGATGTTATCGTATTTCGTCGTAAACAGCTCGTATTTTGACGTATACTATAGTATCCATCATCATAAACTGTAGTATACTGCCATTTACCGCTGTAGTAATCATTGTCCTGGGTAGTATTCATATAAATAGATAGTGGCACATAAACTTTTGTTACACGTTATAACGCGTTATTTGCCTTTATGTTATTAATGTGACGAAAGTTCGCGGCGGCTGTGACGATAGTTGTAAGTCTATTCCCCAGTTGGTTACAAAACCTCACCACTTTTATGATCAAAGTATGGAGTGGACCTCCCTGAAAATGTCATACACTTTCGTCAAGTAGAATGAATGTGCTTTTTTCTATGTGACAAACATTAAGGCCGGATTTTTGAGTTTTTTGTTAGTTTTTCTTGCCGAAGGATTTCACCTAAAAGGTCCGAAAAAAGCTCAAAAACTGGCGTATAACTTTCAACACTGTAAAATAATGACGGCCTAAATGAAAAATCGGGCTCTGTTACATTATTCCCATATGTCTTAGCTTCAGTTTAAGACCAACCCAAGCTCCCTAGCGCTTAATTTGGCGGAGAAATCTTCCTGACAGTGTTTATCACATGGGGAAAAGTCGCTTTTGAGATATAGTGGCGCTAGTGTATGACACACGTTTTAGAGCTCTTAATAAAACTGTCGTAACTTTTGATCAAAGCATTTGCTTGGTGCTGGGAGACATCTCGTTTTAACCATAATGTTTACTCTACGAGCTGGAGTCACTAGAATCCTTTTTGATTCCGACATTTCATTAAAATACCAGAATTCAGAAAAATCAGGTTTTTAGGACGTTTAGAAGATTTGTTCAAAATCCTCCAGAAGCCTCTGACATTGTACAAATAGCATAGATTCTAAAAGTAGGCACCTTGGGCTCATCAATCATGCGCTTAGTTCAATATGGACCTTTTATAGAAAAATCTTTGTTTCTAACCGGGGGGCGGCCTTAACGTGATGAAAGTGCTATCGCCCGTGCGAACCATCGATGCATTTTCTAATTATAGCAGAGCCGCATCCTCTCCAGGAGCCATACCGTATTCTAATGTGAAAAAATGCAGGTACGTAATTGAGGAGCCTCAGAAAAATAATTCCAACAATGTAAAAATATGGTTTCACTCAGGGTTTGCGTGAATCCCAGATGAAAGATACCTGTAGTCAACCATTACCAATATCGAACAAATACATCGAACAAAATACATATGATGTTGTTTTCTTTAAAAAAGTTTAGTCAGTTTAGCTCTCAATATTACTCTGTAAAGAATTTAAGAAATATGACATTTGTGTGCGTTATAAAAGCTTTTGCATTTTTTACTGGGCAAGTCACATGTACCCCTCTCTGGAAGAATTTTTTAAATTTTCCGCATAGTTTATCTTTTGCGCTGTTGCTGTCATCCACACATTTTTGAGACATGTCATTAGCAGTATCACGGTACAAAATGGGAGAATTTCTTCGTACATAGTCTGGTGCGATAGAACGTGGTGAGTCACACTTAAATACACACTCTCACTTCTGCGATAAGTCATTTTTTGTCACAAGTTTTATTCAAAACAAAAAACTGATGTCTAAAAAATTAGAGACAAACGTCACAGCGTTGACCTCTTTTTTTCGTTCTTGAAAATTGTCCCTTATTAGTTACATGATGATCGGTGCGGCTGTGATAATAGCAACGATTTCTTGTTCCTTCTCAACAAAGCACCAGCTGGCCAAAAAGCGATTTTATTCATATATGATGATTATTATTGAAAAAAAACTTGTTTTCTTGGCCTTTTTAAGAAGACCTATGCTTCAGAATAATCGTTTTAAGTTATACCGTAAAAATCTTTGTTCCCTATTTTGAGTTGATGTGAGACGAGAAAAACAAGTTTAATTGGTAATTTTCAATTTGACTCAAGTAAGAGAATTATGCAGTTTAATAAACGAATCACTATATAAGATTCTTGTTCTTCTGTGGATATTCAGTTCCTTAATGGAACTATACCAGACTCAAGATACAAGATGTTGACTTCTTGGTTTCCTTTCTGCTCGACCTAGTGACATTCCATGATTACAAGAAGTTTTAGTAAGATTTTCTATATAAACAACAGATGACGCTGAAAGATTCGTCCAGACTGTGAAAGCATTCAATTTTTATCCTAATTCTACGTAGTTAATCCTGGAGCTTAGCAGCAGAAAATTTTTGAATATACAGTTGCAGCACGAACACTACACACTCAATAATCAGTTCGAGTTTTGTACATGATTGGTAGTATCAATACACATATAAATGGTAGAATTTGATTGCGCGTATAAAAGATTATTTTAACGTGGAGCTATTTAGGGATGCACCGATTCGGTAACAGTAATTTTTGATCTTTTTGTTATACAGACTGCATGAGAAGTATGATGAATTGATTTTTTGTGACACCCGAGTTTTGTAGAGCAAAACCTTTTTATGTATCAGCTCTAAGGCATGCATCCTGAAGAAGTAAAAGGCTTTTTTTGTAGGAAAGTCAGCAGTTCCAATTGTGGATTAGAACTCCAACGAAAAGATCTTTAACTTCTTAAGGATGCATTACTTAGAGCAGATATATGAAAAATTTTTACTCTACAAAACTCAAAGGTCACAAAAAATCAATACATCGTACTTCTCATGCAGTCGGTATAACAAAAAGATCAAAAACTACTGTTACAGAACCGGTGCAAGCGAAAGAATCGGAGATGAATGAGCGAATAAAAACATTTTTTGTCTAACCATACAAAAAATGGTTCGTTTTCTCACAGCTTTTGGAAATTACTTAAATAAATATCTATTTGCGTATTCTTCTTGTGATTCAATGAGTACTTTAAAGTTTCTACATAAAACAAAGATGTTCAGAACCATCTATTTAGTTGTATCTATGAGTGTGAAATCTACATATAGAAGTAGTCGTTATCATTGAGCAACTTTAAATAATAAACTATTAAATTATAGTAACTCAGATAGCGCGAGAGACTTCATGAAAAGCGTGGTCTACACGATACTAATGCCTTTTTTCTCAGGTTGATTGTAGGTGCACAAAAAATATCATATTTGATATGGGTCTCGGGAACAATCCAAACTTACTCGAAGACCGTGCTTTGACATTGCGGCTATGAGTTTTGCAGTTTCATGTTATATTTTCACTTTTTTTATGAAGTTACTCCAGCTATACTATATGTGAGACCTATTTTTAGTTGTACTTGAAACTTATAGTCGTAAAGATTAGAAAAGAAAACATTTTAGCTGAGTGAGTTGTCTTCATGTAATCTTTAAGTTCAGCAACTAAACTAATTCATCTGTTTTGTATCTTTAGACTTTCTTTTGTACATTATTTCTATTGAACAATCACTATGACTGATATTAATTATTCTCAAGAAATGCCCAAGGACGATCAAATGACTGATGAAGATATGGATATGCCATCCGTGGCCAATATGCAACAATTAATAGCAGCTAAAGCCGAAGAACTATTTCGTGCATGTGATATTGAAGAAAAAGGTTTCATCATCAAAAAGGATATGCAACGTTTAAAAGATGAGTTAGGTTTTCCACCAGAGCAATTAGAAGATGTTTTTGATTCACTAGATTGTGATCATAACGGATATTTAACATTAGAAGAATTCACATGTAAAATGAAAACAACTCTTTTGTAAATAATAGTGAACAGTTCATTTTAATTTTAGCCGGCTTCGGTATGTTTTTAAATATTCAAATGGGCAATACAGAAGAACAAGAAATTGAACATAATCCACAAGAGAAGGAGGAACAACAACTATTTCATGATACGTTAGATGCATTAGGTGCGAAAGGTCTCTATGACGATGAAGAGACAATTCAAGCTCTATGGATGAGATTGAGAGAAACCGATCCAACATTGCTGAGACAGTTCGAAGGGTTTATCGGAAAAGTAACAAACGAAATAAGACGTTCAAAATTAGGTAAAAAATAACTATAATTAAGATTGCTTGATTCAGTTTCTATCGTTGTTCAGATCATCGAACAATCGAGGCTGCTTTACAAAGTAAAGCAACATCGCATGATACTGAAGTGAAAAAACTCTATGAAGAAATGGAAAATCAAATCAAAGCAGAAAAGGCAAAAGTTCTAGCACAAGTAGGCGTTATTTTAGAATTTTAAAATTAAAATACAAACACTATATTGCTGAATTAGGAAAAGTTCAAAGAACGTGAATTTCGTGACCAAATGGAACGTGAATTACGTACAAAAGAAGCACAATTGGCGGATGTACAAAAACGAAAATCAGATTTGGAAATGAAGGTGTTTCGATTGAACATGAACGAAGCAGAAACAAAAAGTGAAAATGAGCGCTTGCAAAAAGTAAGTCTTTAAGGATCACAAAACAGATAATAACCGGCTACCATGACTATTCATTGTATGTAATGGTTACACGACAGCATTTCATCTCAGATTTTGACAAAATCATATATATCTCGATTGAGATATGTATCCAGTTCAGGATATAAGGCGTGAGGCTGGACTGCCTAGACATATACCAGTTATATAATTGGTTTCAAGGCATTTAGGAAAATTATTATAATGAGATTATTAAGAATTGTTCCGAAACTTCAAAGCATCTCATTTTGTAGAGAAATGTATTCTCTACGTATGTGCTGCAGGAAAAAAAAGTTTAAATTAAACTGAATTATTGCACAAATATGAGCAATTTATAATACTATAACCGTACATGATAGTTGGTAACCAATAATATAACTGGTAGTGTTTCTTCAATAATTCGTTTTAAAACTTCTCTCTTTAATCCTTTAAATTTTTTGTTTGGCGTACATAGATAGATGCAAACGTTTCTCTACAAACTGAGATGTTTCGCAAGTCTGTGGGACTCCAAATAACCGCGTTATAATAATTCTCGATGCGCCGATAAACAGTGAGGATAACCCGACAAAAACTGCTGTCCGTTTCATAATACAATGGAATGACTTATTTTTTTAATAACTTTTAACAGATAGAGACTTGCGCCATCGTGTAGCCAATACCTGACAGAATGGTACTGTAGGAAATTCTAGTTCCGTATACCACTTGAAGGTAGTGTACCTCGTTAATGTCAGACAGAAAAGAAGAAAAAATTTATTCTTTCTCTATGACTGTCCTAAAATAAAAACCTTCTCGTACCTTCATTTCTCAACCAAATCGCTCGAAAGTTGAAGAGTAAGTATGAGAGGTATTTTATCCAATGACACGATCAGAACTACGAAAAACAAAGTGGCGAGAACCTGTCTATCAAGTTATTTGAAGATTCCCTCATATAACAAGAAGCAACTCCAAAGGATCTCAGAAAAACCCAAACCTTACCCGAACGGTTAGAGACGAAAAACTGGAAGTTGCGTAGAAATATAGAGAACAGTTCAGAGGTTCCAGACATGTTATCGGCGTTGGAAATTTATATTTTTTTCCATAGTTTTACAATCTTCTCTTTCAAAAATTAGTAAGATACACTACCTTCAGATGGTATACGGGACTAGAAACATTCTGTCAGGTCTTGGCTACATGATGGCGAAAATCACAAGTCTCTTTCTCATTTCACTAAAAAGTTATTAAAAAAATGAGTCACTCTATTGTACTTTGAAACGGATAGTGGCCAATACGGTTTACTCTCAGTTCGTCCCAAATTGCTCACTCTCACACCTGATCGCCCCTTTAATGTTGTTTGATCTTACAAAACCAATTTGGGACGAACTGAGAGGACATCGCCAATACTTTGTCTGATCTGTTGTTTTCTTTTTGAAATATAGATAATTACAAGCAATCAAACCTTTCAATTGAAAAAACGCTGTCTTTGTTCGATACTTGTATTATATCAGATCTGATATAATAAACAGCTTGAATAGAATAGAATGATCATAATAAACGTTGAATATTGCAGAAAAATAATTAGAATAGTGTGCTATTATCAGGGATTTCGTTGTTTTACTATAATTGCCACCTCATAGAAAGAGAGACATAAGCGCAAAATACTTTTCAATGGTGATTTTGTCATTTTACAACCGATCGGCTAAAACATATGTTATATACAAAACGCTAGCATCAACGCGAAAATTTTCATATCGCTCTTACTCTCACTTATTAGCGTATTTAAACCTATTATAACTGAAGCTACGTATAGTACATATTTTTGTTTAGGAAAAGCTACAATTAGAGGAACAAGTTCAAGAGATCGCAAGAAATTTATCAGAATCTAAAAGTTATATATCACAACTTCAAAATCAGACAAAGAAAGATAAAATACATCGTGCCAAGTATGATATATACCTTCATTGAGTGTATCTCTTCACTTGATTATTAAATTTTAGACAAGCATTAAATTTCACAGAAAATCTTGCAATTGAACGTGAAACTCTTGTCAAACAACTTGACATACTGAAGTAAATTGTTTTAATAGCTGAAAATAATTTTGAATAGCTTTCAAATATGTTTTTTAGATCAGTGAATAAAAGATTAGTTGATGAACGTGATATGATTGATGCAAACGTATGTTTTGAGTATTTACCGGTTTTGCATCCTGACTAAATCAGTTTTCTCATTTAATATTTAGCCTCTTAATGGAAATATTGTGGCACCATCAACACCCAAGTATAAAAGGCATGTCCGAAAACAAGGATCAATACTTTCAAACTACTTTAGCTCACCACATAGGTGTGTTTCTCATTTATTATATGAAGAAAAAGCAAAACTACATTCTAATGAAAGGAAATGTAGCCCTTAATTCTACAATGCTAACTTTCTAGACATTTTTAACAATTTTAATCTTATTTTTTATTATTCATTAAAACGAAATTAAATATCTCTGAGCTAAATTACTTTTATTTAGACAATCAAGTGATCCTGAAGAAGATGATGATCCTGATAATGAGAATGAAAATGTGGTGGATATTCCTACTAGACGACGTCGACGAGTCAGGTAGATTAATTATATTAATCTTCAGCCATTTTCTTTCATACAAAAGATTAAATAAAACTCAGTACCTGATAAACGGATATTTCTGGCTGTTATATCCATCTTCTAGATAATTGATTAGACATGATAGTATTAATAGTAGCGCTAAATGAAAATATAAAGTGTTTCGACGATATCTGAAAAGGTAAGAGAAATGTAATTGTTTTACTTTTAATTTATTGTTGAACTTTTAGGTGATGGGTAATATTTTGATATGAATAATAATACTCTTAATTCTTTTGTATATATTTTTAGGCGTCGAAATTTATGTTCAGACACAAGCGAATCAAAAGATATATGCGACGATATTGATCTTTATTTTAATTATTCGTTTTTAAAAATATTATAACAAAATTAAATAGAAATTTGCTTCTATTTTAGAACTTACATTTTTCATTGTCTCGTTTTCCTGTTTAGAGCTAACTGAAAATATCATTGAATAATTTAATTGTAATTAAGATTTAATCAATTTATTTTTTTCTCTTTCTTAGAGCACAAGAATTGGGTGCCCGAGAACAACCGGTTGGTGCTAATGCCATTTTACAGCATTCTGAACTGATGGTACTTTTCATGTATTACACTACCATCTTACTTACACTGCCATTCTCACTTTTTGTTCTCTTATAAATTTTAAGATAATTTTAAAATTTTACTTTAATGCGTTTATTTTTTCTCTAGACTGTGCCACAAAATGCCGTTCCTGATCGAATATTTAAAGTAGCATTTATTGGTTAGATCTTTGTATATTTATGTTTAGTATGTAATTTAAATGTAATTTATCGTAGGTGACAGTGGTGTTGGTAAAACGAGTATTATTCAACGGTTTTGTACAGATAATTTTAAAGAAACATTTAGTGCAACAATTGGTGTCGATTTACAAGTAAAAATGTTAAATATTGATCAAAGAATCGTGGCTCTACAAGTATGGGATACGGTAAGTTTGAAAAAAAAAAGTAAATTTATTAAAAGATTATTTATTTAACAAAAAATTGGTATGATATTTTTAGGCTGGTCAAGAACGGTATGAGAATGAATATTATAGCGAGAAAAATAATTGAGTCATCAAATAAATAGAGTCATTGAAGCAGACAATTAGTGTTTGAAAGGTCTTGAAAAATAAATGAGTACTCACTATGGTGGATATTTTAGCTATTTCTATACTATACTAGAAGTCTGATGTTCTTTTTTTTACAGTTTTCGAAGTATAACGAAACAGTATCTTCGAAAATCGGATGGTGTTGTACTTGTTTATGATGTTACATCAGAAACAACATTTAGAAATGTTCGAGCTTGGATGACAAGTATACAGGTATTTGAATACAAAACTAAATATCCTATTTTCTTAATTATAAGATTGTTATTATTTGTTGTAGGAAGCAGCTGATGACGATTGTGTTATTACACTCGTTGGTAACAAAATTGATCTGTGTGATGATGATGAAAAAAGACCGGTGAAATATAAAGATGGTGCAAAATTAGCAGATGTAGGTCATTGATATTATCTTCTTTGTTGAAAATAATTGATTATTATTTTAGGAATATGGGTGTTTGTTTTTTGAAACGAGTGCACGACAAGGAACGATAATTGCTGAAACAATGGAAGCTATAGCAAGGTAAAACAAATGGTCATACTAATTTTCTTTTCATTTCTACTTTGTTTTTTTTTGTTTTTTTTTGTTTCTCAAAGATTAATGCAAGAAAAAGATGATAAACAACGAAAAGGTGAAAATATCGTCGAAATAACGGCAAAACCAAAAAGCAAAGGATGCTGTTAATTATAACATGATTTATCTTTTACATTTTATTGTACAGTCATACTGCTGCGCAGTAATTATTGCTTTTCTAAATGATTAAATTCGGGTTTTTCTTTTTTAATTGAACCAAAAAAAAAAAACTTTATAAAAAAAATGAAAGAAATAATTATTACGTGCAGAACAACAATAATTTTGATGTTTAATAAACATCCAATATAGAAAGACATCAAAATATCTCGTGTCACCAACAAAAACATTGATATTGATAAATGGATTTCCTCCTAATAAGATTATACATGAAAGAAATAGATATTTAATAAAAATTTCTAAATAACAGAAAATTTTCTTTTAGATTTAATTGTAAGAAATGTTGAACTATTTCTGTTTTATACTATAGTTTACATCTATATTGTTTCCTTTTTTCAGTAAAACGTTGCATGTTTGTATATAAGTAAAAAGTTACTAATTGAAAAATGTATATCTATATAGTAGATTAATTCTTTTGTTGTTATTATTTCTAACCACTTGACGTTCTATGTAAGATAACACCTCTTGAAAACGATAGATATACAAATAATTACTTTTTGCCTCGATATTCTTCTATATTCGTAAAATCAAAAAAAAAAAAAAAAATACAAAAAAAAAATGCATTTATAAATGCCTGCGGTGGATTATTAAATACTCATGAATAGTCAACATGGCATTGAGAAAAAATACTACAAGACTTTTCATAATTATTTTTGTTATATGCATAGCAGGAGATTAATACTCGAAGACAAGAATATCCGGATACCAAATAAACATAAGGTGACTCTAATTGTATGAATCTTCTCCTTTTTTTTTCTTCTTTTCCTCATCTAAAATGTGTAAATGAATATAAGATAGATTTATATTTTATGTCTGTGTTATATGTACGTACAGTTTAGTAATAAATCAATGTTCCATATATAATATGTGATTTTTATTAATATTACAAAATAGAAAATCATTAATAACAATTTTTTATCTATTTGTTAATGGTGATGTATTGATCATTAATAGACATTTTCTATAATCATAACAGTAGTCGCCCTCTCTATTGTCGAACAATAGTAACATTATAACATATTTGTTAATCTCACAGAAAATGTAAGTACTGTTCTATTTAATCACCTTTGTGTCTGTCTACTCAACTAAATTAGAGAAAAGAGGCATAAAATCATCAGTAATCTTGTCAATGACTAGCTAATATTATTATTATTTATTCAATTTTACAAATGTTTTATCAATAAAATAAAAAAATCTCACATAATTTTAGTAATATACAATGAGTATTTTGATATTATTTCTACTTCAATTGATATTATTATGTCAGACGAGTCAAGACATTAGTAGAGTTACATGTATGGATAAAAATTTATCTGAATTCAATATAGGAAACTTAACAATTGAACAACAAGAAATTCTTGTAAGAATATAGTTGATGTTTTAATATATGATTTCAAATTTTCTTTTATCTTATTTTAGGCAAAAAATTTACTAGATGAGTATAATCATAATATTACTGAAATAGCCTATATTACATCATCATCTGAATTTGAATATAATATTGATCTAAATGATGTAAATAAAAAATTAATCAAAGTATGAGAATATATAAATTCTTTTTTTTCTTAAATATAAAAATTTAATTGTTTTTAGGATAAGAATTATGAAGTGTATCTTGCATGTTTGAAAATTGTTGCATCTGTAACTAAAAAATTCAATTATCATTTATTTAATGATAAATCATTAAAATTACTTTTGCATCGTACGCAAAGTATTGGTATTGCAGCTGAAAACGATACAGCTAAAAAATTAGAGGTATATAAATGATATTTCCTATAAAAAAGGATAACAACTAATTAAATTGTATTATTTTAGCTACAAATGTTAAAAACAAACATAAAAGAGGTCTATCAAAAAAAATTTAGTTTTAATGGAAGTCAAATTGGTATTGATGGTAAACAAAAGAATAAACATTAAGTTTTAATTGATAATCTATTTTATTATTTTTTTTTTCTATTATAGAAGTTCAAGAATTAATGGGTTCTATGCAAAATCCAGATGATTTATTAAAATTATGGAATTCAGCATATAGTGTACCATCTCCAATGCGTGAATTTTATACAAAATTAATCAATTTACAAAATCAACAAGCCAAACAAAATCGTATCTCTTCAGTTAGCTTCTCAAATTTTTTTGAAATGTAGCAAAAAGAACCATGTTCATGAGTCTTTTGTCGTTCACATTAGCTCTCAGAATTCTTAGGATGTACTATCAAAACTTAGTACTTTTAAAGCTTTATAAAACAGTTTAGTCAGTCATAATTCTCAGAATAGGAAAACAATGATTTGTTTTCAGATATCGACAGTTACAATTTTTTTAAATCTGCTCTAATTCTTGTTTTTTTTTATTTTTGAGGCTTTGCTGATAAAACCGAGTCAATAATCAATACTGATGAGAAGAAGATTGTTGAAAAGTTATGGTCCGAACTGAGACCACTTCATCTATTATTACATGCTTATATTAGAAAAAAAATAATTTCTGCTTATCCCGGTCTAATGTCATCGAATGAGCCGATACCCATTCATCTGACAAGTAAGTATTAGATTTATGTCAAGTATTGAAAAAAACATTATAGGTGTGTTTTATAGGAGATATGTTTGGCTCAATGATGACGCATTTAGAGAGAATCGTTTTACCATTTCCAAATGTATCTGGCATTGATCTCGGACCAGCTATGATTCACAATGTATGTGAGACTTATAATCAATATACTAATGTAGATGGAATTAAATAGGAATTATTTTTAGAATTTTACTGAGGAGAGAATATTCCATTATGCTGATGAATTTTTTGTGTCACTAAACTTAACTCGTGTACCTAAAAATTTTTGGAATTTATCCATATTGAAAAAAATTCCTGGACGAAATATGGCCTGCCATCCTACAGCATTTGATATGTACAAGTACGATGATGTTCGGTAATGAAAATTTCTCTTATTCATTGTCATTTGAATTACATTTTCCATAAATCAATTGTAGTATTCGAATGTGTACTAGTTTAACATCACGTGATTTTTATATTGTTCATCATGAAATGGGTCATATTCAACATTATTTGCAATATAAAAACTTACCATTTTGGTTTCGTCGATCGCCCCATGATGCATTTGGAGAAGCCATTGGCGATGCTATTGCTCTTGCAACGATGTCACCAACACACTTAGAAAGAATTGGACTATTGGAAAATCATACAACATCAGATGGTATAAGACTATATATACGTATATCAATTATAGTTTTATAATTATTTTGATTATTCTAGAAAACAATTTGAATTTCTTGGTTACACAAGGTCTAAGTCGCTTATTTTTACCACCATATGCCTATGCACTTGATACGTGGAGATGGTCAGTTAATAATGGATCAATAAAACCATCAGAATATAATAAGCGTTACTGGCAATTAGTGTAAGTGTATTTGTCCTTTGTATATTTATTGGTAATAATGATAAGAAAGACAAAAAAACGACATGTAAAAAGCTTACGACACTTGGTATTTCAAGGCGGTCACCCATCCTAGTAGTAGTCCCAAGCCCGACGTTGCTTAACTTCAGTGATCGGACGAGAACTGGTGCATTTAACGTGGTATGGCCGTAAGCATTACAACAGATTCCCATTACCCACTTTGTTCTGTTCAAATAAGATCTAAATTTCATTTACAACTATTTTACCAGAAGATGAAGAAAGTATTTGTTAAGTTTTGATGAATAAAAGATGCTAACATGGACTTCTGAACAAGTCAACTTATTATACATCTATCCAATTGGATGTGTTAGCACACTATTATTTTATTCAAAGTCAGATTTGTTTGTTCTCTGGCACATACCTTTCACTGCATGCAAGACCGAATGAGAAGAGATTCTCACTTTTCATCACAAGGGTTTGTTATTCTAGCTGTCAGTACCAAGGTATGCAACCACCAACGCCACGAGGTGAAGAATATTTTGATGCTGGAACAAAATTGCATGTGGCTTATGATTTATCTTACATCAAGTATGTCAAGACTTTTAGTACAATAAGTACAAAAATGAACTGTCTTGGTTTTGTCTCAGGTATTTCTTGGCTCATGTATTTCAATTTCAAATATTTGATGTTCTATGTCGTGAAGCTAATTATACAGGACCACTTCATCTTTGTGATCTTCATGGTTCACATCGAGCTGGTGCAAAATTAAAGTGAGTTTATCTCATTTTTGCACTTATCTTAAGTCCATTTTGTGATTTGATTGTAGATTATTAATGGAACTAGGCTCATCCAAACCGTGGGATGTTATTTTAGAAGAGTTTTCTGGTGAACGTACATTTTCAGCTAAACCATGTTTACGATATTTTCAACCATTACGAGATTACCTAGAAAAATTAGTTAAGATTGGAGAATTAAAAACGGTGGGTTGGAAATGTAGTGATGGATCCAACAATATACTAAAAAACACGATGATGATGATTGTTCTGTGTTTAACATTGATTAATTTAATCAACTAAACGACTTATTTGTACCTTTCTTATTCTCAGGTGTGTATATCATCATTTAAAAATGTCCTTCGCTCCGAAACAAGAACTACTTGACTTTTCGTTCTCTTTCTAACAATGTAAGGTTTTCGTGATTGTCTTTTGGTTTGAATCAACAGCACCACCACTCCATCAACATGACGATCAGAAACTCTAACATTGTTAAGTTGCACTTTTATTTAAAATCTTCAAAACTGAATAACATTTAAAAATATCTGGCATAGTACGATTAGTTATAGTCGCCGCCGCACTACATAGCCAGAATAAATATTTGCTTATTATTTTTTTTTGCTAAATCTGCACGAATCGTGTATAGTCAAGCAAAGAAAATCGAATAGTTTGGAATCATGATGGGCACAGTGAAATGTTACATGACTGAAATCTTTCAGTACTTTTTACACTACAATAGAAAATATTGGTTTCCTAAGGCACCAGAGCATTTAAAAATGTCCTTACAATCGTACACAGAAAATCATAACTCCATCAACAATTTTCCTTCTGAAATCAATCCATCGATATGCATTAAAATCAAGTACAAGATGAGTGTATATATGAATCAACTCTTGAATTTGATCAAAACTATCATAATTCAAACGATTACAATATCTCATATCCCATGATCTGTAAATGCTATTATTCGTAATAGACAGCTACCGCAACGTAATCAGATTTTCATTATTTATTGAATTTTTTTACTAAAACTCGCTGTGGCATCGGTTATCAGTACTGCGTGTGACACTAACATATATAGCATCATCGGTAGTGAAGAGATCAGAAACAGCCGAGAATCCATCTCCTGTGTTGGTATATTATGGTTCGGTGAACAATCATCGTATCCAAAGATGATGAGCGTGTTCTCTACCTTTAATCGAAATGAAAACGAGATAAAAGATTACAGCTACTCAATTGTATTTGAATAAAACAACCAGTTTTACTTGATCTGATTATTGCGTACCAACTACAATTTTTTTCTTCTAGCAACGTGTATCTGTAACAACAGAAGGGGTAGAACAAGTTCTTCTACTACGCTCAAGTCAATTTTCTTATCACTGACGCAACGAGAGTCAGTCAAAAACTTACAGTATGATCACTTGATCTGTTCGCTGTGAATCGTGTAAAATAAGATCCTGCTCATATGAAAGAGATTGCAACTGTCAAGTATTTTAGCATTATCAAAATTTTCGTCCACTAACAATAAATGAGTTTCAGTATTCTTACCACGATCGCGTACTACGCAACGTTTATGATGCGGTTCTTCTGTTCAGAAATTTCAAGATGTTGCAAGATCTTAAGTGAAAAATTTTCTTTACATATTGTTTTCATTTATGATAGTCATGATCATCTGATATACGATCATATAGAATCATAGACTCTCCTGAAAGAACTATGTTCAAGAAGGAAAACAATTCGAAGTTACGGTAAGTGTGAAAATATTCACACTTATATTTACACAAGAGTGTAAAACAAAGCAATGATTCAAGAATTTCCAAGATCTTGGGTACAACATTCAATCGCTCAAGGTCTTAATCGAAGATAATACTAATGAGATAGTGCACGGACGTGTCACGTGATACTGATCTTTCTTCTTGATCTAAAAGTTGAAAAAGGAACTTTAACATTTTTCAAAGTTAATAACCTAAATTTTGTTATATAAATTAAACCATCATGTCCGAATTCACTTAGTTAAAACCAAATGCACAGCGATGGGCCCCCAGGGAGACAAACAAATTCTGCAAAACGGAAGAATACAATATCAAATCACAATACAAAGAGAGCTGCATCTGCTGCGACAACAACAAAATTAAAAATTGCATCGCTTGTATTAGAAGGTGTTACAACTATTAGATTTACACCGAGTGAATCAATCACATCAATATTGCTAGATGTTAAATCAAATGCTATACAAAAAAATAAAGCCGGTACGTTTACATTATATGCAAAGGTTGTCAACAGTTTCAACGAACTCTTAATAAAATTTGTTCCAACACAAATACAGCATCATCCACAAATGAAAATATTTATTCCACGACCATCCAATACTGGATATAGACAAGGAAGCATTTTTAAAAGGAGTAGATGTTGAAATATCCCTACAAGATATAGAAGTTTTAAAAAATGAATATCATGTTGAAAAAGTTGAACGTTTACCAAATAAACAAAAAAATGGACATAGTACAACATGCAAAATAACATTTAGCGATTCAAAAGACAGAAATATATTCGTTAAATATGGTCTACAAATTCAGCGTCTTCATTACAAAGCAGAAGCCGCTTACTAACTTATCCAAACAACACAATGCTCACGGTGTTTCAAATTCGGTCATGTTGAAAAGTATTGTTATGCACCAACACCAGAATATGCGCACTGTAACGGTGATCATCCAACCAAAAACTGTATAGAATCGCCGTCAAATGTAAAACAAAGTTACATATCGAAATAAAAAAATTTGTTTTTCGTTCTCCAAATATTTAGTGTTCATTGAAAGTGAGGCAGTATGGGCGCCCATAATAATAATTTCCGAAAAATTGAGTCAGTTTTAGCTCTACGACCTTGAAAATTTGGGTTCTTAGCTAAAAAATGATGGCAAACCCAATGGAAACAGTTTCAAAAATCTTCCAAAGTTTTCTGGAGATCCGATCTCCAGAAAACCTTACCAAAAACCAAATTTTTTGAAAATAGCATTGATCGCTAGAGAATCGAATTTTGAACAAGTTGAGACCGACTCGAGCATTCTGTGGCTTTCCCTTGATCAGAAATCTACAAGAAAATCAGAAAACCGATTCTAAATTTTTTTAAAAGGGGATGTTTTCGCAAATCAGTTGGCCGATTATGGGCGAAACTGCCTCAGTTTCAATGAAAACTAAATATCTAGAGAACGAAAAACACATTTTTTTAATTCGATATATAACTTGGTTGTACGTTTGACTGCCGTTCTAATGAGGTAAAATTCAAGGGTTCCTCGCCGCAACAGAAAGATTTGATGCTTTTTTGAGCAAGGGATCTCCCTTATGAGCGCCTCTTGGAAATGAAGATTTCTGAAAGACTTTGCGCGGTTCAAGAAGCCTAAAATACACTTTTCTATAATCACTGGCATATGCTGATTCCAAAGGTTCCACGACCTTATCGAGCCAAGATATTGAGCATTTTTCGAAGACAAAATTTTTCCAAAAGCATCTCACGGTTTTGAAATTTTCTCCTAGATAACGCACCCTAAATATTTTGAGTATGATATTCGTATGCAGCATAGAAATCTGCGTCGAATGGTAAATATATGAGGCAAAAATAAAATTTTGCTCCATCTTTGAATTAGCGGACTTAGCATTTAACTATGTTATTTATTTTTTCAAATAAAAGTTTAGATGTCTGACAGACACCAAAAGTAGCCCATGGGTGGGGTTATCAAACTATAAAGCGCAATTTGAGAAATCTTTGGCACTGGTTATCATTCAGCATTTTTTAACCGCTATAAAAGAATTGAATAAATTTTAACAAAATACTTCATTCCACTCCGAACTTTAACCAAACTTACTTATTCGGCAAGTAACTTCTAACAACCAAGTAAAGGCGTGAAGATACAAAACAGATTGCACCTGAAATTTGACGTTATTGCGAGTAGGAATGTCATAGCTGTGTCGGTAGATCGACCCCAGTTAAACTCCATTAAAGTTTCAACATGTTTATGTGCTATATCAGATCTTGAGACAAACCACTTTGATGAGAACAAGCCTTTTGTGTCAAAACAAAAGATTTCTTTAAAAATCTAGAGTCCAGATTAGATAAGGTTGTATCCTTTGTGAATTAATAATACAACAATAAGAAATATCGTCGAAAACAAACAATTTAGAAAAGTGAGAAGAAGGGACGGATGTGTCTATATGAGTCTCTAGTTAATTAAAATTCATTTAGGTGCTGTTTTTGACTTTTTATTTGGTTGTTACGGAAGCAATGGTTATACAACTGTGCTCTCGTCTAAAAATATCAAGCCATTTTTCCGATGAAGATGTTTCATGGAAATAGACAGCAGAACCTAGTACAATCGGAATTGTAACTGCTGGAAAACCAAATTTTCTTGTAATTGCCGATATTTTCCTGTGAAAGGAAACTATAAAACTATTAAGAATAAATACACTAAATATGAGGGTTAAATAACATTTAATTAATAGATAAAGGCCTTGATGGCTAGTGAATACTTTTAGCATAAAAATATTATAGCATAAAAAATCGCCCATACCAAGTCGATAACCATCACTACCATAAGAGTAGGAGATTCCACCCTCTGCTACCTCTAAATAGAAATACCATATTATGAAAAAACATGGCATTTGTAGGTTTGTTATTCTCAAACCATTTACGAATTGTTCTTCCTCGTGGTTTTTCAATACACTAACGCGGACAGCGAGAACGCATGCATTTGCGGAAGCTACTACTATTACATCGACTTTCGGCGCAGGGAACGAGATCTACCTCATTTTGTAGTTCGATGAGTTGAATAGAGGACTTGCAATAAGTATTGTTTCTTAAATTCTGAAGTAACTATTGATTGGATTTCGGCATCCTCTGGGTGCTAGGGGTTTTTCGACATGACATATGCACTCGGATACTTAGTCCTTTTATCGGACCGATTGTTACTCAGATCTGGATATTCACCCTTTTTTTGATACCCCTCGCTCATTAGTTTTTTTATAACTCGGTGATAATGCAGAAGCTAAGGTTTAAATTACGTGTGTAAACTCATAATAACATTGCCTAGCTATTCCTAGAAAATGGTCGGTATATACTGTATAGGTCAGGTTTTACGTTCAAAACTCGACCCCGGATTAGACGATATTTTAGAAATTGTATATCTCAAAAACTAAACAACATTAGCGAATAGTTGTTTTACCAAATTAAAGAGCAGTTTAAACTCTACAAACGTAATGGGTTGCCACTATTTCAACTCTGTTTTTTCAGTTCTGTTCAATTTTAAGATTGATATATTGCATGCTCAACTGGTTTACAGGCTTTAATAATCCAGTTTGACAAAACAAAAACGAAGTTAAAAATTCTGGTTTTACCCTTCGGGTATGGAAGTTACATCTGGCGGCCGAAATAGTTGTTGTCTGACCTTAACCTTCCTGCACTATCACCGAGTTATGAAAAAACTAATGAGTGAGAGTATCAAAAAAAGGGTGAATATCCAGATCTGAGTAACAATCGGTCCGATAAAGAAACTAAGTATCCCAGTGCATGTGTCATATCGAAAATTCGCCAGTACCCAGAGGACGTCGACATTCCATGGATGGTTGTTGCTCTGTAAAGTCCTGTAAGTTCTCAATTGAATAGGGAGAATCGCAGGTCTATACCTAGCTAACAAAAAAAGTTCCACGCATTTTATTTTCCCAGTAGAAATGCGTTTTTCGTTATTTTCCTCCGAATTTTGTCTAACTTGCGATAACTGCCCCTAATCATAATCCCTAATGGCAAATCTAGCTTACTCTCAAACGAAAGAGCTTATCGAGTTCTAAGTAGAACAGAAATAAAATTAAGGCCGTATATCTGGATATTGAAATAGAGATTTTCGAAAAAACCACAAGATCGAGGAGTTTATTGAGAAGCTCTTCATAGCTACCATTGAATACCCCATTCAGCTAACCAGAGATCTGCGGTTTCTACAATTCGATTCAGGTCGTTATGCTTTCTTTCGTTCTTTTCTATACGCTTTGCTGCAATTTACGACGGTAAATCAGTTTATGGACAAGCATCGCGCTTTTTCACCCCCCTTATTACAAGAATGACGGACTAAATCGCCCCAAAATCTCATATCGTGGCTCGTGCTTTAAATGTTTAAAACCCCTTAGGCTTTTATTTTGAGCTTACTGTGCTGTAATTTTACTAATGGCGCTTTTTCTATTTATACACTTCGTGTACCGTAAGTGTGTGCTGATTCACAGTAAAGAATGAATTACGAGACTTGGTGCCTTTCATCCTTAATTGGAACGAGGTTTTTTTATTACACTTAACGGCGCTTTCTGTTTTTAAGAATGACACGAAGTTAGATTCCCCATATTCTCTAGAAACGAGTAAAACCGCCGTTAAACCACGTTCGAAAACCCTTTGTCATCAAATCTGAAGGGTGCCATGCTTGACAGGCCATAATTTACTGGATTACGCATGAGCTGTCGCATGGCGAATATTGTCCGGGCAAAAACTGTCAATAATAAACTTTCTCCAAAAAGCCCAAAATAGAAGCATAATACATATAAAGCATCCTGGATATGATCACTCTGCTGTTTTTGGCAAATCCGGAACAACACATTTCGATCGGGTCTGACTTGTCGCGATTATCGTGACACTAAATACAGCATATATATTTCACTTACTCGTCATTGACTTGTTCCCCAATCCAAAGGCCCATGAAACAGTATACGCCATCGTCAATGAGACAAAGTCCAAATATGCTGTCCACCACAAAAAAAACATTCTTCACCACTCTTAGGACACAAACTATTTAGTATATCTTGTACTAATAATGCACTAAACGATGAAAATATTATTAGATAAAGTCTATGTAGAAACATACTTTCGGCAGCACGTTTTACTACAAAATAATTTCTAATCAGAATTATATTAAAACAAATAATATATATAGTAACGCTATCTAAACATGATGACAGTGTAGATAATAAATATGGTAAATAACAAAATGTTGATAATGAATAAAACAATAAAGTACATAATTGTTGAAAAGAAAATATCATATCACCGTAGAGAGTGATAATGTAATTAAAACTGTAATAATTAATGGATAAATTAGTTCGAAGTCGAAAGTTGTTGTCAAATAGGTGCATAAGCTATTGCTGGTAGCGATACGATCATTAAGTAGTTCATTCATTATCTGTTGCCGTCGTTCTTCAAATGTATAATCGGGAAAATCAATAAACATTGATTCAAAATTAATTGTCACTAAAAATAGAGACAGAAGACAAGTAGAGGCTTGATTTAATATCCGATTCATATGATAATGAAATCATTAGAGTTGTTGTATCTGGTGCAAATAATGAAAGATAATGAGGTGCGATGTGCACAGGTCGAGTAGACTATGAGAAATGTACCTAGAGGATTAAGTTGTCTAAGTTGTGTTCCAATGAATACGGAGGATTAATCTTTATAGTTCACTGAGATGCGAATCTATACTTTGTTCTTCTATCAAGTATAAATGAGGAAAAACGAAAACAAGAGTGTTTCTCTTATAATAGGGGACAGCACTGCTGTTCTTTCTCTCAAGCAATGTTTAGTGTGCAAGGATCTCACATAAATATTCATATACATCAGAAATGCATCAAAGGTTGATTTTATAGCAATGATGGATATCCTCAGTTTAACATAGCTTAGCTGTTAGTGACTGTCGGGATGTAGCAAAGATCAGTTCAGTTCTGTTTGGGTCTGAACTATTCCGCCTCATTCCCAGGATATTAGGTTGTCTGTCATAACTAACTGAAATGGTGAAATCAGCGTCTCAGCTATCTTAAGAAAAACTTGCCGTTTACGACATTCTATTATATAAAAAATATTCACTTGTTTCTAAAGTGGAAGTTTTATAGAAATATGTATCTTTACGATGAATGAAACAAAATAGATGATGACGAAGATTAACTGACTAGGCATCGGCAAAGACTATAAATTACGGTCAACAGTTTATATACGTTCTAGGTAAAATCAAAGTTTTAAATTTCACCACTAGTGTAGTGAATCTTTTTTAATAACTTTTCAATGAACGACCTAGAATTGTGCACACAGTTTACCACACAGTTAACTAGCTGCTTTTTACCTTTTCCATTTACTGGCATTTATTAGCCGGTATTTTGGCCGACCTAAAAATGGCCAATAAACTAGACAGTTTTTAGGCGGTTTTTAGACAGTTAACACATTGTCAACTGCCATTTTATAGACAGACTATAAACCTGCAGTTAATGAGCAGTTTATTGCCTGTCTTTTTTCTTCTGGGTACTTACCACTGGATATGGCACATTGAATAGATTTACGTAATGTAGCTGTGGCCGAAGATTCATTTAAAACAAACGTTGTAAATAGGGTTAACAGTGTGGATAATATAATTGGTAAAAATAAACTTTTTGTTCGATAAATCATGAGAGTTACAATGGACTTTATCATTTTGTCAAAGCAGTGGTCACTTTCTGATGATATCGTCTTACTATATCAACCAGCTTCAGAGAAAAGCAAAAGAATTATCATGGGATACCGTGGTCATCATTCCTCCAGCTGTTTTTATTCCCTTTTTCTAGAAAATAAAATGAATAACTTACTTAGCCGCCGCTCATTGTTTAAAGTAATAGAACAGAAATATGTATCTTTACGTTGAATGAAACAAAATAGATGATGACTAAGATTAACTGACTAGGCATCGGCAAAGACTATAAATTACGGTCAACAGTTTATATATCTCGAAGAGTTTTTAGATTTTAAAAGGGTTTCGTACGATACTCGTTTGGTTAATGAATATACAACAGCACCAAAAATTGGTTTAGTGATGCTCTCTAGGAAAAAGCGTTTTCTCGGAAACTGGAAGCGATTTCAATTGCTGAAAGTTTCACCGTATAATCTAGAACATGTAATCGATTAGCGGGCCAAATTTCATGGTTCTATCCTGTTACTGTGGAAAACGATGAGTTACTTTGTAAGGTTTCGTCTTAGTGACCCACACATCATAGAGTGCTGCTCCGTGATGATAACACAGATTAAGTTGATAACAGGATTTCTGGAAAACCTGACCACTGTCAGGTTTTCCAGAAACCCTATTATCAACTTTTCTCATGAAACGTCGATATGCACCTCATTTGATAGAAAAATCTTCGGCCTATTCAAAACAGTATTCAGATTGGCTTCAGCTTTTACTGAAAGATCTAAAACAAAGGAGTTCTTGTGATTATCACACACTGTATTGCATAGATAACACCCAAACACTTCTTTTGCATATATTTAACGACTGGCTCCACCTGTCTGGATATTCTGACCCGCTCAAGTTATAGAGAATTTCCAGTAAAGATATTCTGAGTAGCTCAGTTTGTAGAGAATTTTACGGGCTATCTAATGCTGCATTTAGTTTGCCATTTCAGTGTAAGGTAGTTGAGGAAAATCTGTTGTACTCATCATATGATGGCTTTTTAACGGTGTTTATTGAGATGCTATTGTTCAAGAATTAACCGGGTTTTACCTGACAAAAGTATCTGATTTTACCGAAAACGGAATAGAGGCACTTTTTTACTGCATATGGATCGATTTTAGTCAGAAAAGAGAGTTGGCCGATTCATAACCTTACACGGTTCCCTCCTTTCACAAAACAGCCATATTTCGCAGAAACATGCATTGGAAGACGTCTTCTATTTCAAAACCTGTGGTTGAACTGCACTACTTATCGACGGTTGGAGCCATTCAGTTGCTGATTATAAAACAAAATTGGATGAATTACGTCGTGCTAAAGCTACAACTGTAGTTAAATTAGAAAAAGAATATGTCAATACAAATGTTCCTGGGTTTGTTTTTATTTTCAATTCCTATTTTCAATTAATATCAATAAGTTTATTCATAGATTAAATCTTCCTGAAAAGACAAAACCATGTGACAAATGCGAAGAATTTGAAAAAATCTTGGATAATGAAAGGAAATCGAATACACAATTAAAACGAATAATTGAACAAAAAGACAATGGCAAACGATCAACACAGGGGCGTAATTACTGGGGAGTGGTCGCCACCCCCCCTGATTTTAGAAAAGTTTTTATTGCTATCGCCGCATAAAATTTTTGATCCGTCTTACAGCAAGTAGAAGCTGAATTTTCATTTAGTAATCCACTCGTGAAAACTTTTTTTCGGCAGGACCACCCCCCTGCTCTGAGATGCTAGCTACGCCCCTGAATCAACAACAAATTCTGGTCCATGTACCAAATGTTCCGATTTAAAACAATTATTAGATATTGAAAAAGAAAATAATGTACAATTAACAGAACAACTCAAACTGGAAAAAAAACAAACAGAAGAAGAACAGAATGCTAAAGAGGTTTTTCTGTTAAAAATCGAATTTATTTTAATTGAAATTTATTTCTATAGATGCTCGATCGAACATTAGAAATGATATATAGAGAATTAAATGAAACAAAAAGTTAATGTGAAGCATTGCGTATTGACAATCAAGATTATAAAGTTTGTTTTCTTCATCAGGGGGGGGGGGGTGCCCCCCCCCCAGTAATTACGCCCCTGTGTTGATAGTTTGCCATTTTCTTTTTTTTAAATTTTTGGTTTTAATTGTGTATTAGATTTCCTTTAATTATCCAAGATTTTTTAAAATTATTGGCAT